AAAGGAGAAAAAATCTATTACAACCACAGCCAACAAAAACAAAGACTTGGTGAAGATGATGGGCGACAACAAAAATCATCGTTGTTTTTAAAAGGAAATTTATCTGATTTTCCATATGAATTATGTTATAAAAGTGTTTCTTCACCATTATGGTATTCGTTTGTTAAATATAGATTTGTTGTTTCCAAAAAGCCACAACAAAATTATCAAAACTATCAATTATTTACTACATTTAAATCTAATGATAAAAGTTTTTTTGGTAGAATGGTTACACCAGAATTTGATGATGATCGTGGAGAAAATTTTGAATTCAAAATTTCAGATCAAGGTGTTATAATATAATAACAAAAATAAAGCAATATATATTTATATAAAAAATGACTCCCTTTGGTATAATAATAATGATGACAGATGGAGTATTTGTTCCGGAATAAATTTTGATGACGAGATGAGATTGGTCATGTCGGCGGGTTTGGTTAAACTCAAGATTATAAGTACAACTTAGCGAGGGTCAGTCATTAGACATAAAATTATTCAATCAAAAATAGTGCCAAATCAAATTTGGAAATGATATTCCATTGGACAAAGAAATTAGGGCCAGCTGATCACACCTGACGACTTTTTTATGGTCCAAAAAACACTTTCTCAAAAAAAAAATAGAGATTGTAAATGGTAAGATTATTTTTTTTTAATGTAAAGAAGATATTTTACATTTAATATTATATGTAATAGGAAAAAATCATTAAAGATGCATAAATTATTAATATCTTTTATTTTTTAAATTTAGCAATAAATTTATCCTTGGTGTATTAGTATATGAATATTGTATTCATAGGATCTTGATCTTTATTTTATTATTTATTTATTTATAATATGGAGCATGCTGCAACAAAACTCAACAAAGTGAACATTTGCACTACAAAGGATTTCAATGCACAAAATTTAGTCATCACCAATGTGATTGTGATTTAACACATACAGGACTATTACTCTACGAAAACATAATTGTCATATCAGAACATAACTCTTGACCATTAAAAAATGACATACTTTGTGATTTAAATAATCTTTGTCTTTGTTTGATTGGTGTTTGATTATTATTATAAAAACCTCAGGTAAAAAAAATCAAACTACAAATCCTTCAGTAATCATTATTAAACAATTTTATTTTTGTTCAAAAACCAAATATTTGCATCAATAACATTTTTAAAAAATACTTTCAATAGTGAGCTTTTTTGTGGGTTGCTAATTGGGGTTTCTTGCATTACTATAAACAAAACTATACCCAGAAGGAATCGAAATATATGGAAGGATTTCAAGCAATTATATGATTGAATTGGACTCAAATTTTTTTCTTTAGTAAATGGTGGTGGAAATCTACAAATTAGTTGGTGAAGGAAAAGGTGTTGTTTCATCCATGATAAAAAACTTCTGCCAATGAAAAATGAATAAAACATGGAAGCAATTTGGGAATCAATAAAGGAAAAAATGAAAAAATAAAGGATGATATAGAATATGAAGAAAATACTAATATTAGCAATAGTGAAAATGTAAAATAGATTTACATCAGAACAACTAAAGAATAGGTATTCCTCATCAATGGCTTCCCATGGAAGCTTTCTATATTATGGTTCTTTTATTTTGAAAATATAGGGTGCAATTTTTTCACCTTGTTCTTTCTTCAAAATACTTCTGATAGTACTATAATTCTTGGGTTCCATAGTAGATCGAGTTTCATATTAACTATTTTTATATAGGAGTAATTCTATATATCAAGGAAAAAAACAAAGATAACAAACAAATGGGTGATTATAATAATCACATTACTAAATTTTGATCCCTAAAATTCTTGGTTCACTTTGTCTGATTTTGTTGGAGTATGCCCCCATTGATAGTTATCTAAAATTTCGGAATGATCTACATTTTTGATGACCTGCGCCATACTATATTTAATATTATGATTTTTTTTAATGATCGTCATTCGAATCAAAAAAAAACTTTTTATCTTCTTCTTCCAAAAGTAAGTAAATATTGAATATTTATAAAATGTTGCATTAAATAAAAAATGATGATTTACTCGAGTAATTTGCGTTCGAATGCCATTTTTGCGACACATTGCCTGGTGTCAATTATGCAAAAATGTTTGCAATATGTGATAAATTCTTGTCCTGATAAAAAGTTTAACAATTAGCTTAAAACGACTTTATTAGGAAATGTTAATTGATTTATTTTTTTAAAAATGTTCAATTATAGATGGATTCAAGAACTATTGGTTTGGGTGCATTAAGTGTGTTTTCTGATAATCTAATATCTGAATCTATTCTATCAAAATTACCTGCCGAGGTAAATTTTAAATATTACATATATATCTCAAGAGATGCTGATAAATACAAAGTAAAATATTAAAATATTAATTGATTAGGATTTAGGTAGATCCGCAAGAGTATCAAGATTTTTTTATGTATTTTCTAGAGATGACCAATTATGGAAGAAACATTGTTTGGATAAATGGGGAGATAATAAAGAAGTAATGAGAAATTTCGTATTTAGAGGAAATTGGTTATTAACATACTTATTTCCAAATTTATTATCAGAAAATGAAGAAAAAGAAAAAGTGTGGTCGCATCCTATTTGTAAACCATTAAGATTTACCGGTAAAATTAAAATATTTATTTGTTATTTATTATATAATTAATTAATTGTCATTGTAACTAATTAATTATTTAAAGATATATCTAGTCATTATTTATACGCTAAATGGTGTAGATGTAATATGTTTTTAGGAGATTTTTTACCTAATTATTCATGTGTACCACCAGAGTTGAAATTTCCAATTGAGGATGGAAAATTACTAACAAAAGAAAAATTTGAATCATTATATGATTCACAATCTATACCTGTATTAATTAAAAATTGTGACGTTGAAGAATGGAAGGCATGGAAAAATTGGCGATTTGATGAATTCACTAAAAAAGTATAATTATATATATTTATATGTATATATTATTAAATTTACTATTCTAATCAATTATCACTATTTTTAATATTAGTATGCTAAATCAAAATTTAGGATAGCAAATGAAGGAGGAGGGAAATATAGATATTTATCAATGACTTTGAAATCTTATTATGACTACATCAATAATCAACATGATGAAGCGCCTTTATACATATTTGATCCAAGATTTGGTGAAGAATATCCTCAATTAGTTGAAGAATATAAGGTAATTTTGTTTAAATTTGTTTATTTTTATTCTAAACATTAATGATATTATGACAATGATAATGTAATTAATGTTTTCTATTTTAAATAGATTCCAAAATATTTTGATCAAGATTTTTTTTCAGTACTAGGAGATAAGAGACCTCCTTACAGATGGATAATTATTGGGCCTGCAAGATCTGGTAACTTTTATTTTATGCAGTTTGTATTATTATATAATTGAATTTAATAATAATATGATTGTTATGATTATTATTAGGTGCATCTTGGCATATCGATCCATCGGGAACTTCAGGTATTACTATATTAACATAATTATGTTCTAAAGTTAATAATATTAATATTAACCAGAATCGTATATATCTATTATCATTAACTAACTGGTTAATAATTAATTCATTTTAGCTTGGAACACTGTTATAGAAGGAAGAAAACGCTGGGCATTGTAAGCTCCTATATACATGCACATACGCACCTCTATATATTGAATTTATGCAATCTATATAATTGTCACTTAACTCGTTATAAATCTATCCTTTTTTTTTTGAAATATTTTAGGTACCCCCCAGACATGTTTCCTCCAGGTATATATTGTTTATTCATTCAATTATCCAATTGTTTATTAACTTATTCATTAGTTTATTCGCTAATTTACTTGATTATTAGGGCTGTCAATATCAAGTACGATAATTAACGGTCATCAATCAATCTATCATTCAAGTGTTATTGATGACTCTAGAGATACAACCACATCATTATTCTGGTATCTTGAAGTTTATCCTCAATTACCACCTGAATTAAAACCGATTGAAATTATACAAGAACCGGGGTAATAACCATCAAAATAAATTATTTTTTTTTTAAAAAAAAAAAGATTATAAATATTAATGATTTTTCTTGTCTTAAACTCCTACAGTCAAACAATATTTGTTCCAAGGTAAAAATAATATTATTTTTAGTTATAATAATCGGTGTAAAAGTTGATATTATATTAAATTCATTATCTTTATTAATTATTAATTTATTTAGTGGTTGGTGGCATATGGTAAATAGATTATCTTTATGAGTAAATCTATATATATATATATATATATATATATACACGTTTGATCAATATCGTAATATATATACATACATGTAACGTTAATTTACAAGGTATTGAATCTTGATAATTCAATTGCTGTCACTCAAAATTTTGTTAATCTCCATAACCTTGAAAATGTATGTGAATCATTAATTACTGAAGAAAAAGGAAAAAAGGTAAATCTTTTTAAAATTATTTAAATACAATTTAAAAAAAAAATTTTTTTTAATTTCTTTTTTTTTTTTTTTTTGAAAAAATTAGATTTGGGAGACATTTAATGACAATTTAATTAAGGATTATCCATACTTTGAAAAATTTTTATCAAGAAAACTATTAATGCTTGATGATAATACAGATGATCTTATAATAGTTCAAGAAGGTTTTTCATCCAAGGCTGAATTTATTGAAGGATTTAAAAATTTGGACATTTGGAATGATAGAATAATTAAAGTATTGAGCAAACATAATTTAAATGATAATGAAAGGATAAAAGTGGTTTCTAGTGGTCAAAATCCTGTAAGTATAATATTTATGTATTTATGTACGTAATTGGCTCTCGTTATTGATGCATTTTTTTATGCGTATATTTTATAGGTTTTTCGTACATCAAAATTAATTATAAAATTTTATTCACATTTATTTAATGGATTAAAAAATTTTGATTCAGAAACAAATTCTTATTTTTTAATAAATAATTACTTGCCGTCAAAATATAAAAATTATTTTTCTAAAATCTTGGGTTCAGGTTATTTATATGATGTTGATGATAATGTTGAGGGTGACGAAAAGAAAAACAACAACAATAAATATCAATGGCCATATATTATAATTGATGATGTTAGTGTAAATGATGCTAATATTAACAAAAATGATTTAAATAACAACCATGACGATGATGATGACGATAATGAATTTAGCAATAATATAAGTCTATCTATTATAATTAATAGTGGCCAAGATTTGATAATCAATTGGGAAAAATTGGTTGATTTTATTGCAGAAATATTATATGGTGAGACTATAACAATATTTTGGTTGATTAATTTATTTATCTACTTAATTTATAATTTTTATATTATTATTATTATTAGCTATTCATTCACTTCCATCTTATAATGATAATGATAATACCAACAACGATACTACCATTCAGAAAAGTTCTGATTTTCATGATTACATTTCTAATCAAATTTCAAAAGCTTTAAATAATCACTTAAGTTGGTTAATTTTTCCAATACATTTAATTTTACAAATTTCTGATTACTTACCAAAATCACCATTAGAATTATATGATCCAAATTTAGACGGCGAAAATTTTGCAGGATTACTGCATGGTGACTTGAATTCAGAAAATGTTTTAGGAATGATTTCAGAAACTAATGATGATGATGATATTGATGGTTCATTAAACAAACAACAACAATGGAAACCAAACAGAATAATAGATTTGGGCGATTCTTTATTATTTGGAGGCGATCCATTATTTGATTTAATTCCTATTTACATTTCAATCTTTAATTGTTCAAAATTACTATTAAAAAGCTTTATAGAAAAATATAATAATCAATCTCAACAACAAAACAACAACAACAACAACAATAATAATAAATTAAAAATATCAACAAGATTATTTAAAAAAAGAGCAATGTGGTACACTTTATTATGGAGCTATGAAGGTGCAGCAAAATATACATTAAAACATTTTCCTGATATCAGAGAATGTAAGAATTGGGAAGAGGTTGAAGACTTGGTTTGGGATATTGAAATATGATATTAATAATTTGTTATTTATAACGAACAATATTATACTTGATGACCAATTACAATCATTGTTATTTATTAAATTATTTATTATGTTGATAATTAAATAATTCTATTATTAAAAATAATCTATAAAATAAAAGTAATCTATAAATTGAGCATTATATTATATAATATGTTATTAAAATTTGTAAAATAGCTTTTTAGATTTTTGTGTCGATGATGTCGATGACGTCGATGTTGTTGATAATGTCGATGATGATGATGAATGATTAGTTTGTTTATTATTAAATCGTCGACTTACTGGTACTGGTTGTTCATATCCTTGAGGAGGAGGAAGTTGTTGTTGTTGAGAGTAACTTTGTTGATAACCTTGTGAATATCCGACTTGCTGTGGATAATGTCCACCCGTTTGTTGTTCTTGTGGTAGGGGTTGCTGCTGCTGCTGCTGTGGATAATATCCGGCTGAAGGTTTTTGTGACAATGATGATGTTTTAGAATATTCTGATGAGATTTTTGGACGACTTGGTAATGATGGTTTTTGACCTCTTTGTTGATTAGGTCTTCTAGGTTGGTTTCTGAGAAGTTTTAAATCTTCAATGAATTGCTTTGGTGTAATGACATGAGTTGAACCTATATAATATGTAATGTTTAATTATTATATTTAAATTATATTTAGATTATATTTATTACTAACCAATAATTACGTCTCTATTATATTTTTCTGTAATCTCATATGCACTACGAAGTTCGGAATTTGTCACACCTCCTGCAACAAATACTATTATTCTACCAATATTACGATTTTCTGTCTACAAAAAAAAATTTTTTTAATGTTAAAGAAAAATAATTTTTTTAACTACTGTATAATGCCAATTAAAAGTTTCTTACTGCTTGTCCTCTCTTAAACCATCCAGATCGTGCACTAAATAAAAAAATAATATTTATTATCTAATAAATCAAAGCCTTTTTCAAAAAAAAAAAAATACAACTATGCTAACGTTCTTAAAGAAACTGGTCCTTGCGTATCTTTTGATCCATCAGGATCCCCTGTAGGATCTTTTGTATAAGGATATGCTGTATGATCTATTGAATTATCGATATGGCTCTATATTTAGACAACACGTGTTTATTAGTGAAATTATTAAATAATAAAAAAAAACCCAATCAACAACAACAACGATAGTTTACCTCCAAAACAAGCTTAATTCTCGGTACATATCGAGAAATTTCATATTCTATTTCCTCTCCAGGTTTTTGTCGATATTTTTTAACTTTTCTTTTATTACCTTGTGGAGACTATTGTTAAAATTAACTCTTAGTATAAAAATAAATAAAAGAGTACTTATTCTTTCCCATACATCAAAAAGAAAATATCAAATATAACATGTACCTTAACTAATTTAACACCAAATAATCCCAGATTATTAATAGCCTCGCTATCTTGTGACGAAATTCCTGCATGTGCCAATAACTTTCGTCTGTCGTCATCAAATATACCATTCTTATACATCATATAAAGCATAAGCATTCTAACCCTGTCTACAGAACTTCAGACAACACACACATGCGTATAAATACATATACAAATACATTATCATTGATGCTAATATTAATGACAAACTATTACCTAACAACTGGATTATCTAATAAAGGTACCATTTCTTCAACTAAAGTTTTTGGATGTGATCCATCAGATGTAAATCCTGTTGCGCAATTCTGAATTATTAAATCGTTAATTAAAAATAAATTTAAATAATATGTTAAATCTATAATATAAATAAAATAAAATAAAATAAAATATTTTTACTTGTTCTATTGTGGCTGTTTCTGCAAGTATTTCGTTTTCAAATATACTCATACATTCTTGTGCAATATTCAAGTGTACAGAAAACTATAGAATTTTTAAATAGTTAGTTTCAAAATTCTCCAGAAATGATTTTAATTGGAATTTGAATTATTAAACTTTTATAAGAATACCTTTTCTTTCATATTTTGAAATTGTGGTAAAGTTGCCATCATTTTTTTCATGTCATTTAAATTAGCTGCTTTATCCCTTCGTATTTATTTAATTAGAAGTATTAAATAAATAAATATGGAATAACTTCATATCAGTTAATTTAAATTGATAATAAATTGACATACTTGTCGGTAAATTCTGAATTTTCACCCAAAAATTCATTAAAATCCTTCATAAGTTTATCTATACAATCCTTCATGTGTTTATGCCTAACCTCGACCCAAACCTTATCATTGTCATCTAAAACAACATCCTTAGTTGCAGGTTGACCATCTTGATCAACATAAGTATAATTATATTTTTGTCCGTTTTCTATTTTTAGAAGATCATTGGCCATTGCTTGATAAGTAAACTCATGAAGAAAAGGCGAATACATGTCAATAGTTCTGTCAAAAACAAACAAAACAGCTCGTGGACGTTGATTATCTTGTGGCTGATATATATTTATTTGAAAAAAATAATTCGTTAATTGTTTGTCGCCTAAAAATTTTTTTTAAAAAAAAAATATTAACAATTTACTTACAGGAAAATTTGGGTTAGTTTTTACATATTGATCTAATTCTGCTTGTAACAGCATAGCTAATTTATAAGGTAAAGATTTTGTTGGATGATCGGCTTCAAGTGATCTTTGATATCTAATTAACGGATTTTCACCCAATGAAGCACAAACAGAAAGAAGCTAAAAACAAATTATAATATAATCAGCAAAAGAATTAAAATAAATCATTAATAATTTCTCGTTGAGATAATTCCATTGAGTTTATTATATAACCTTTTTTGCAGTATTTCTTAATTCATCTTCATAAATCGTATTTTCATTAATTGAAAATGGTGAATATAATTTGAAAAAACTTGATGGATCATCAAAAGTGTAAACTTGTGCCTCTCTTACTATTATATTATACAGATAGGATAGATTTGATTTGTTAATACTAATTTAATTTAAATATAAATGTATTTTTTGTTTCTTTTTCAAAATTAAAAGAGCAACCTTGAAAATCGATAAATAATTCAATGAATTTTCTAATATATTTTGATGCTGGAGATGATTTTAACTTCTGAAAATACTTGTCATCAAGTGCTAAACATAAAACGTTTAAAAAGTCAATATTACATATTTAGTAAATGAATAAAGTTTAGATCAAAAATTACCTGATATAAAAAATAGGTTTGCAGCAGCATATGTTGGAGTGGGTTTGTCAAAATCCTCGATCACCGTATTGATCGATTCATGTGTTGGTGATAATATATAAACAGCCTCAAGTTGAGGAAATGGTTGACGTTTTTTCTCGATATTTTCTACCGCTTAAATTTTCAAAACCAATAATAACAAGTCATGTTAAAGAAAAACAGCTAGTGTTATTAAGTCAATAATTGTCATCAAACACTACTTACAAGTAACTTTTTCCTCAAGAATGTCATTAGTTTTACATACTGATTCTATAATCTTTAAGGATGGTTTATCAACAACCACCACTTTCCAGCTACCAGCTGCTGGTTGAACAGACTTTATACTATCAATTATGCCTATTATACAAGAGAGTCAAAGTTTCTTTAGTTTATGCTATGAATTGGTTTTAATTTTATTAACGTAACTTGGAGAAATTTTGCATACTTTTTTTGAGGATTTCGTTAATTGCGACCATTTTCTCTTAAAAAAATTTAAAAAAGTAATTATATGCATGAGTTTCCTTTTAAGTTTGTTTGAACATTGTACGGTGATCATTTCTTTCTATAGCTAATTTAGAAAGGGGCCGAAAAGACGCCGGATTTATGCGGCAATAAACATCAGATTATGCATGTAACACTTGAGATTTATATTTTGTTAAAGCAATATTTGCAAATGGGTAGAAATGAGTTGGAGTTATATTTGAGTTGGGGTATTCACAAACAATTTTTTTATTTTTTTCAATTAAGTTTGTAGATCCCGTTTTAAATTTATGTCTTTTGAGAGATTCTTCTATATACCTACAAACCACTTTTGGTATTATTTTCAATATGAATATTAATATTATTGTTATTACCATTATTACCATTATTATTATTAACATTATTATTATTATTATCTAGAATAGTTTCCAAGTTTATACTATTTTTTAAAAAATAGATTAATTAATTCACGTAGTATATTAGAAATGCAAGATGCAAACAATGAAATACCTTAATAATAATAAATTTTATTTATTTATCATCAAAACCTTTATTTTTTTTTGTGCAATTTAGATGTGTGTTTTTATTATTATTATTATACAAATTTCCGATTTAAACATTTTCTTAATGTAAATAATTTAATTACCTTAAAATGGGTAGACCTAACAAAAGACAAATTCAAATCACAAAACCAGCCCAAGATAAAAAAGAAGAAGCAGTGATCCAACATGTAGATAATACCAGTGACGTTGGAAGGAATGAAGATCCTAACAAAAGACAAATTCAAATCATAAAACCAGCCCAAGATAAAAAAGAAGAAGCAGTGATCCAACATATGTAGATAATACCAGTGACGTTGGAAGGAATGAAGATGGATCTGAAGTTGAAGTTTACCTTTGTGCATGACATTTCAATAAAAAGCAGATCTGTTTATCTAATTCAGCAAGAACACAACAACGACATGCCAAAGCGTTGAAAGAAGCTTGCAGTTGGATCTTCCAAAATTACCGATTTTTTAATGTTCGATCTTTTAATTAACAAAAATCTCTCCTTTATTACCTCATTTTTGAATTTATTAAAAAATTATGGCACTTTTTTGTGGAGATTTAATCCTGTCTTTAACAATAACAAAAGTTTTGAAATAATCATTGAAAAATCAAATGAGTTAGACGACCTTGTAAAAACATACAAACTATTTATGGGTGGAGAAATTAGTGAAGAAGAGTATAAAATAAAAAAAGAAAAATTTGCTAAAGCTTCCGGTAGAAATGTAAACGAAATTAATGATCAGCCAGCAGATGATGATGGTATCAATCTTGAAGATGACTGGAAAAAAGCAATAAATTCCGTTGAACAAGCTCTTGAAACCCCAATTTAACCAATGACGTAAAATCTAGATTAATGGCGATTGAAATGTATTTTAGACATTTAGATGATGATAAGAAAAGGTTGAAGTGAGTGAATTTGTGGCAGTATCTCTAGGGTGAACAAAAATTTATAAAGGGAGATGTATTAGAGCTTGGGCTAAACAATGGATCCAAAATAAAATATTATCCAAAAACGAAAAGTCTTTGGAATCATGAAGATGATGCCGCTCAAATAAGAAGTTATGCACGATCTAATAAATTTGATATGATATCAAAAGAAATTACATGAACATATCAACAATACAATATTGCCCAGCATAGGAATAGAAAACGAAAAAATGTCTGAAAAAACTGCAACAAGATGGCTTAAAAAGTTGGGGATGTACTTATAAAAATGGGTTATATAATGAGCTTTAAAATCTATTCCTCTTTCTACCATTAGAAAATTTGCACAGGTACATGGATGCATGTAGACAAGGATTATCTATTAATGCTGTAGAATATGCTGTAAAGAAATACCACATTCATAGAATAATTCCTAATAGTGTATTACATGATCTTGAGTCAATTATGAATTATTTATTTATTTATTTATTTATTTATTTATTTATTTATTTATTTATTTAATTTATTGATTTATTTATTTATTTATGTAAGTACTTTAAATTCTTATTTTCTAATATAAAATTTTCAATTAAGACTAAAAAAAACAATGAAAAGGAAATGAAAACCAAACTATGCCAAAAAGACAAGTATTTGGGTCTGTACTAGGAAAATTGACCTTCCAGATGGGTTTGAGTTTTTCACTCAATACTGCAATAATGAGCTATAATACAAGGATTTGTAATTGGTGAAAAAATTTGACCCTGATTTGCATAGTAGAAAAATGAGACAACATTTTCTTTAAAAACATACGCGTAAACCAAATTTATAAGGGTTGAGTGAGATTTTTTGTCTCGAAGGTTGATTTCCGTACTCCATTTGTCTTTCCCCAAAATCTCACTATACCGATAAACTAGAGATATTATACTACATTATATTCAAAAAATGAATAATATCTTCCTTTTCCACGGACTAGTAGCATTTCGAAAATGAGATTTTTTATTATACCCATTACATTTTTGATCATGATTTTTTTCACCATTGGTATTTCTTACCCTCAAAAATCTCTCTGTGTCGATAAACTAGAGAGATTATACTACACCGTATTCAAAAATGGAAACAATGACTTTCTTTTTCATGGACTAGTTACATTTCAAAAAATGTGATTTTTTACGATTTTTGATCACGATTTTGGATAAATTTCAATTCGTGATCTGTCAATCTTAGTACTAGTCTATAAAAAAGCTATCCGTCAATCCGTATACGATCGGATTGTTTTAAGGTGACAATCCATTAAATGAAACAATTTATGACTCTGAAACAATGATAAATGATGAAATTTGGTATGGAGAATGATTTTAAAAAAAAAAATTTTAAATCACGAGTTCCATTTAGGAAAAGTACAAGAGGTTTTCTGCAAAAACGAAATGATTCCAATAAAAACAACAGAAACAAGGAATTTTCAATTGAAGACATAGTCGCAAAAGTTCTTATAAGTGACACGGAAACACTGATTCCAAAGAAGAAATTTGTTATTTGATAGATTTCTTGAAGCAAATCAAAGTTTATCTACTAATTGTGACCGGTGAATGCCTTTTATTAATTGTTTAATAATAATATATTAATATAAAGATATTTCAGATGAATATTCCAACAAATATCAGATTCTGAACTTTTAGCGACATTTCATAATTACAAAGGTGTATTAAATTATTTTTACACAAAAATATTCATTCTAAAAGTAAAGAAAGAGGTGAATACTCCTTTGCCATATAAAAAAATAAGGATTCTGATTTGAAATTGAGAATTCGCTACCAAAAGCACTTTTAAGTAAAACGTCATTTTTAACCAAATGCCTTTGTTTAATTTCTCCCGTTTGTCTATTTTTTAATCATTATTCCTAATTCCCTTAACTTTTTGATATCTTTCTGTAATTCTCTCCAATTCATTTTTTCCATGGTTCATAAGTACTGTCATTATTAATATACATGAAACCGAAACTGTTTCAACCATTTGCAGATCTGGTCTCGATGTGTAATAAGCACATGGTTAATCTCTTATTCCTAACTTCATCAATGCCTTCCAATTCTTTTTCACTTGTTATGCTTACATATAAATTATCTCTATGTAAATTGCTTAATATTAAAAAAAAAAAGAATTTGTTGCAATTAATATGGTTAGAATGGATACATTGCGAGAGAGTGGGCTGGATTTAGCCCTCTATCATCAATGGTCGGAACAATCACGCTTATAGCTTACTGTTTTTGGGTCATTTTCAAAAAATGCAAGGTGTTTAACGAATTCTTGGCATTAGTATAACGAATTGATTATTTAAAGCTCGTAACACTGTTTTTTGTTGTGATAATACCCCTCCCTATATATTAATATTAAATCTTACAAGGGTGATATTATGGCAGGAAAAAATTTCCTAATGTGTTCCCATTACTCGGATGATGCAATTATTTAGCATTGTAATGATGAAATGGTGGAATCGAGGATATTTATATTCAAGAAATGGATTAAATAACAATAAAAGGATAGGCCATGTTTTATTTATTTCGAGTTAACTAAAGTATAGAATAACTTATTGAAAATACATAATAAAAGTATCGGATAAAAGACTGCCTGACCATTTGCATGGGAAGAGAATACTCGGACCCAAAGCAATCGTGAATACGACATATTCTTTGGACACCCTGACAAAATCCAACTTTCACTATTACTATTATTATTATTGATAATATTAATATCTTCTTTGTTTTCACTATCGTCATCATCTTCTTCTTTGTCCTTTTCTTTGTTAATCAGCCCATAGATTGCTTCTTAGGATTTGTTTTTTTTTGTTGGTAAAATTTTTTTTATTGTGGAGGTAATAATTCCATTGTCATCTCCAGGTAACCCATGAATTTCAATGATATTTTACTAAATGAAAAGTCTGAATTCAACCAGTCTTTCTATAATTGTTTTTGAAATTCTTCGATTTCTTTTATCATATCAACGTGTAATGTGTGAATAAAAATTAAAAAAATAACATTTCATAGCCTAGGTTCGTCAAATTACGCATGTAAAATTTCACTCCCCCTAGCGTTTTTATTAAAAAACTTATTATTCCAAGTAAAAACGGATTTATCAAAATTCCGCCTGGACATATGGCCTAGCCTCTTTTGTTGTCACTGATTGACCAAACGAAATAACACTCGATCAACCGTTTAATTAAAAATTTATAAAAAAGCTAAATGCAATTAGTGCGCTAGGTAAATATTTTTTTAACCATTTATTTCCAAAGGCAACTCTCTTATCCAGAATTCAAATTATTTCATACGGTGTATATTTGAATTAGGTTCGAATCAAAAATTAGTTTCATTGATTCGTTCGGAGCCTTATTCAGAGGATATTCGGTGAATAATCGAGTAATAGTAATAGTAATCACCGATTATTCTGATGCTAAAAATTTTTAATTTGACCAATTATCCAAGTGTTGGATTTTATTATTATTGATTGACCAAATACTCAAACATCTGATAATCAACGGATACAACCATAATCATTTATAATTTAATGATAAGGTTATAAAAGAAACAAGAATGATTCCAACCAATAAAAATTCATTGATGTTACACGTGAACGTCATCGTACAATAAATGATGCAATAATAATAATAATAAAATATACCGAAAATAAAGAAAGGAAGAAAGGAAAGAAGAAAGATAGAAGAAATGAAGGAATGAAGGAAATCGATTCCGATCCATTTACGATTACGTTCAGATTTACATTTACACCAACATTCTTGATTCTTTTTTTATTGGAATTGTTTTTCTAAACCCAAATATAGAAATTGTTGTTTGTAAATCGTTTATATTAATAATTTAAAGCTTATCGCAAAAAGTAATAGAACGTGTGTATAAACTACATCTAAAAAACACACGTGATATAATTGAAATTTAAATTAAATTTATATATAAAATATGTTGTGTAAGAAACTAATTTTTTTTTCTAAACTATTTTTTTTCTCCTTACACCATTACAACCAGTTACATGAAAAAAGAGAATCTGTAATCAAAAAAAATTTTTTCAGTTTATTAATAAAAAAAACTACTTTTTTAATATAGATAAAATGTCTACTTCTGACAGTTTTTTTACATTTTCATGGAGAATCAACTGTTTTAATGAGTTAGTAGTAAGACATCCGAATGGAACATTTTTTTATAGTGAAAGGTTTTGGTCTCCAAGGGGACAACCAGGTAAAACCTCAGCAGCAGCAGCTGTATCAACAACAAATACAACTACAGCAGTTAATGATAATAATGTTTTATGTGGGCAAACCAATAATTATAACAATACCTGTTATTTATGGAGGTTAAAAATGTTCCCTAATGGAGTAGATAAGAAATCTAATGACTATTTGTCACTTTATCTTGAAGCTATTCAAACACAATACGAGAAGGAAAATGGTATAGGAGGTAGACACAAAAAGTTCAGGTTGTCACTTTTTCGTATTGATCCTAATAACAATAATAATCCACAACAGTTGTCATTACAACAATTGCAATCTAAACAGATACAATCACACCCTTCATTACAACAACTACAACAACAAAGTCCATTATTAGTGATTAGTCGACATACGTTGGAAACAAAGTTTGAATTTAATGGCGTGAATGCAGATTATGGATTTGCAAGAATTATTGCGTTAAAAGATTTATTCCCAAGTGAAAATTTATATCCGGAAATGGATTTACTGGTCAAGGTGCAAATATTCGATGATCTTCCAACCGGTGAGGGAACAAGTTCGATCGCGAACATACCTGATCTTTCACTGGAACCATTTGAAAAGTATTTTGAAGAGGAAAAATTTTATGATATAGAGTTTGTGTTCGATTGTGGATCAGTGATGAAGGCACATCGTGTGATATTGGCAGCGAGATCTGCATATTTTGAGAATTTGTTGGGAGGAGAATGGAAGGAAGGTCACATGAAAACGATTGCTATTAGAGATATGCCATACGAAGCATTCAGGTTGATAGTTCATCATCTTTACACGAATAAACTTGAGGATGGCTTAACGTTTGAGCTGTTGAGAGAGATTTATTCTAAAGCAGACATGTTAAACATTTCACAGCTTGGATCAATGGCAGCAGAAAGGATGGTTGGATTGATAAATAGTGGTAATTGGGATCAAATATTAATGTTGGGATGGAGGTTTCAAGACGACAGGTTACGAATAGCAGGTTTGGAATTTGCAATAGAGAATTGGACAAAGATACGAGACACTGAAAATATGAAACAAGTGATGGAGTGTGGTAATATGGACTGGATCGAAGAATTAATTCTTGGCAATTTCTTTGCTACAAGAAACGGCAAGTAATAATTGTAGTATTATCCAATATTATTATTAGCAATGTTTTAGCAATATATGTGAAAATTGTCGATCAAGGATGTTATTTGTTGGTAGACATTTTATTATTAATGAATATATATAATCATAATATATGGTAAATATGTATAGATATAAATAGATATATAGATAAAAATATATATTATTCATAATAATAAAATAAATACTTGCACATAATATTACTCACACACACGAGCCGATAAAAAACAATTGATCGTTATCATAATTAAAATATATATTTATTATTATGATAATAATAATAATAACAAAAAAATAAAATTGTCACTTTCAAATTAACCTTATTTTTTTTTTCTAAATAAATTACTGCTCAAATAACGTTATTTATGATTAAGATGATGAAATCTTGAGGATTAATGACGAAAAATGTTTGTGGAATCATTAGACTGCAACACCTCAATCATAAATAAAAATTGTCGATCTTTTCCAGTGTTGGCAACTGTCAATTAAATACAAGTCACTCCCGTTATAATGACATTCGTTATAATGAAAATCTTGTTATAATGACATTTTTTTAAAAATCAAATTTATAAATAAAAATTTATGCCCGTTATAATGTCACTCACTATTTATCCCGTTATACTAGTATAATGTCAAAAATATATTTTTTAATTATAGAATTTATCCCGTTATACTGACACCCGTTATAATTTGAACTTGTGAACTTTGGCTCAAATAAATTCACATGACATAGGCTGATTAATTTATGTGCGTGAAGCATGTTATCTAACTAATCTTGGTTAGATATTGTGCTCTAAAATCAAAAGTTATTAACTCTGCATCTAGAAAACAATATCAAATATTATTTGCAATTGTAAAGTTCAGGCAAATAATATACATTTCAGATGTGTAATGAACTTTGTTAAATAACTTGTGGATAACTCGTAGATTGATTAAATAGCCATCAGTTTGGTTAATAACTTGCATAATAGATTAGTGAAATAGTTATTTTTTTGTAGAGATAGTTTGCCGATACGTCGAGGAATAATTCAAGATAAATCTAACAATAAGTTTATTACCTTCAATGCAAATAGATGCTGTCTTCGACAATAAATGTATTACTTTATATTATCGATATAAACATATTTATTGTAAGTTTTTACGTTAAAATTTAAACTTGGGATTCTAAAGAATATAGAAATATTATGACTAATGGCAAAATGATTTTTACTGTGGCCTTTTTTTTCATTACGAATAACGATTTAATACTTTTGATAAATATAAATTCCATCTACTTTCGTATGTAAAAAGTGATAGTAACACAAAGAATAAAATCAACTTTATAGTAATAATGATATTTGAAAACCGTGGAAATATTTTTAATTACAAATGGGCCATTATTTATTATTATGAGACCAATATGTAAAATAATAAGATATTTAATATTTACTACATAAAACAATATAATATTATTTCAATGCTATTTCAAGATCAGTAGTACTAGCACCTATTTCCGCATGGAAAGTACTTGTTTCGTAATTTCACGATTATATTTAATATTGTAATAGATTCCGTATGTTTCACACTGTTTTATAACATATGTGTCTTTTAAACGGTTTTTTTATAGGGTTGAGAAATAGAATCAGAAGCCATTCCGATTTGAGGCAAAGTAGATGTTGAAGCCTCATAACCCCTAAAATTATTAGCTGTTATTTATATCCATATGCGCTGATTTTGTTTGAACCCCAAAATCCAGTACGGTATGATCATAACGTTATACTAGCAAAAATCCATTTGGTTTTGAGGTGGGCCATTGGTTTGACGGGCTATCGAATAGTAAAATAGTTTTTTTAGCGGAACAAATAAATTATTTGGGGGTTAATTATCATTATATCGATCAGTTTACACATCATGTTTAACGTGTTTAACGTCGAGACACGATAAGATATAAGGTTTGAAAAAAGGATCCAAAAAACCAAATCGGCTGATATGCTATGAACCTCATGGCTAAGGTTGCTTGCCGAAACCTCTTAGTGACAGTCGAAACTCTAATGAACAATTAGTATACATACCTTGCCAAAACTCTGACGATTGACAAAACCCCAAAATGCGAAACTCTGTTGAAGCTCTAATAAACAATTAATGTGTAACTTGTCGAAACTCTGTCGATTAAGTTTCGCCCACAACCTTACTCAGGGCTGAAATCAATAATTAAAATTTTCCATATAACGATTTTCCAGAAGATTTTAATGTGAAAAATTTTTTTTCAGAATGTATATTAATCAAAAATATAAAAATGGTTAGAAATGGTTAGTAATGTTTTGGTTTGTAAGAGGTCTGTATTTACTCGGAAAATCAGTACAAATTTCCTGTACGCGATAAATAACGTTGTAGTTTTCTTAACTTCATAATATCTTAATAAAATATGGACATAAAAATATCTTTTAACTAAAACTCTTGTCAATTTGCTTGCTAAACTCATACAACTAATTAATTAATTACTATCTTACCAGGAGGACGCCTTTGATAAGTATAGTTGTATATATTTCTTTTAATTTTATTTTCTTTATTTTTATTTAGCTTAGGCCAATGCCTAAGAGGAGCAAACCCTAGCTAGGTGCGGTCGGTTCAGACACTGAACCTAAAAAACACAACAGACGTGGCCCAACCAACTGGGACCTAAACATAAAAAGAGGAAAGCCTAAAGAAACCAAGGTGGATATTTAGGAAGGTAAACATACTGGCTCAGGCTAAGGTTGTGGGCGAAACCTCCTTAGTAATTACTGAAACCATGGCAAAACTATATTAAATCTTATCAAAAATCCTGTTGAAACTATGCCGAAATGGCGAAACCTCAAAATGCGAAACTCTGCTGAAACTCTAATAAACAATTAATGTGTAACCTGCCGAAACCCCGCTGATTGATTTCAGGAGGAGTTTCGGCAAGCAACCTTAGCTCAGGCAGATAACAAAGAACTGCCGAGAAAATGTTACCGGACAGAGAAGTAAAAATTGCCCCCACACAGATTAATAGACCAAGCACTATTATATAATACACATCAGAAAAGCAATTGCAATTGAGAATTAAAACCATCAAGGAGCACTTGGCCACAGCTGTATAAACTAAATAAATCTAGAGATTTGTATGAGGCGTGGATTCCAATCTCACAGTATGCAAATTTATCTGTAATTCTATGTAAATGTATCTGTAATTCTGTAATTTTGCAAATGTCTGAAAAATACTATAAATTTCTGTAATTTTGTAATGTGTAATTTTGTGTAATTCAAAAAATTTCAGTATTACATATATATTGGTTTAATATCCTCTTCACATTTATTGCATTCATTTGCTAAATGAGAATGTAAGATTTGAGATTTTTGCAATGGAACATTTTTATGATGATGTGTACATTCACCTTCATATATGCCATGTCCATTTTCTTCACCTTAATAAATTGTCTCCGTACACCTGTAAACTTTCTACCACAATTAGAAGAACTATTGGTTTTAAAATTTTGTGATACAGTGTCATGTTTATTATGCAATGTTTGCATCATTTGCAGAATTACAGATACATTTACATATTACCAGAGAAATAAAGATTCTGACACTTGGTTTGCAAATAGTATGACAACTTGGTTGCTAGATACAACTTCTTTACAGACAGCAGCACCTTTGTAATTAAAATAGAAGATTTTGCAATACAAATAAAACACTTTTAAAGGTTTTCTAAAGACGGTATGTAAATCATATGATCATTCATGCAAAAAAATAACATCCACCTTGTTTTTTTTTATAATCTCATACTTTCACAAAATGTTATGCTTTGATAAAATGATGTTCATTTAGTATGTTTGAACATTAATAGTTCAGTGCTCTCTGCTCACAATAATCCTGATCATAATCATAATCATGAATATCTCTTATACAATGCATTTATTTTGTATCATTTTTTTATTTAAATAAATTTTAATTAATTCTGTTGTGATAATTTAGTTCTGTTGCTTTTAAATGGTATATGAAAATTTTTCTTGCCTCTTTGTCTTGGTTGATCTCTTTGGTTACCAGTTGTTTGCTTTTGTTCCAATAATTTTTCATTAGCTTCAACAAATGTTACTACTTTTTCAGCAAGCATTAAAGCCAATTGTTGAACTTTTGTAGGTTCCACTCTGTGTAACACTATGGCATTTTCTACTTGATCCAATGATGCAGCTAATTCCTCATTCCAAATCATTTTAGAAACAATTGAAGTGACATTGTTTACAGGTAAAGAAAACATATTGCTCAATTGTTCAAGTCCCAAGTTTGCATAGTAAGTGGAGTAGGTGAAAAGATAAGTGCGAAGACCTTCTTCTTGAATTTTATGATTCAACATCTCTATTATCTTTTTTTTCTCAGGCATCAAATCCCATATTTTTATAGCACCGATGAGTTCTTGAGATCTTTGCCATTCACCAACAGCAAGTGCTTTAGCTGCACCCATTATATGATCCCTTGTATTTTCAGCTGGCCCTGTTATTATCATAATTTTTATAACCATAATAATTATTATTAGAACAAAAATATTCATATTTATAAAAAGGTTTTATGTAAATATAACCAACCACTAAACACTTGTTTTTCACTATACTCTAACAATTTTCTGAAAGGTTTACTAATTATTTTTTTTCGAGCTTCAGGATTGGAATCAGCAGCAGCCATACTTGGAATTTCCAATAACATAGAACAAGTCAAATAAACACATTCTAACAATTCAAAATTGATATGCATATGAAATGGTAATTGACGTTGTTTATCTAATTTTTCTTGTTCTGGTGGAAGTGCATATTTTTGTAATTGTAAACCTTGAGCCAACAATTCTTTTACTCGACCACTTCCACAAATTTCCATTAAACAACTTTGTGCTTCCTTAATCATTCCCTCACGAAAAGCACAAAGACCAACTTGAACCATTGTACGATTATGTAAAATTTGTGTTCCAACATCACTTTGGTGAATTGTATCTTGCAAATGTGACATTAAAAGCATATCACGAGCAGTATAGAAACGATTGTGTAAAGCATGATGATAGATGTGACAAAGCATTGCACGTGTACGGAGTAAAGATTCACCATTCTTGTACAAATAAACACAAAGAGCATGAATAAGATCTGAAGAATCTTGTGTTAAGTGGGGTGGGATGATTGTAGATGATATTCCTGATGGAATTTGTTGATTCACTGTATTTTCGACTGTTTGAATAACTTGATCCGGCTAATTCAGATGAAATAAGTATAATAATAATATAGTACAGTAATCAATGATCAACTGTCAATAATATAATCAACTATCAATAATCAATAATCAATAATCTAACAATTATCATACCTTATAGTATAAATGTTCCAATCTCCTCATTATAACTCTACTTATGTTATCAGCTAAATTATGTTTTTCAAAGTATAATTGACCTCTAACAATAGTAGAATATAAGAATGTTTCATCTTTCAATCTATCCACATAATCAGTAGTATGTGGATCGATATTTTGTAAAGATTTTGTAAATTCATCATCTAATCTATCAATAAAAGAAAGAATTGAGCCACGTATACCAAAAGTTTGACCAGGCTCAACTACTGGCTCATTATCCTCTTCTTGATCATCAACAACCTCATGAATTATGAAATGTGGATTATTTTCAAGTATTGCTAAAAGTTGATTGATTTCTTTTAAGGTGCTTAGTAACATTTTTTTTATATATAATTATAATATTGAGTTAATAATAATAATAAAAATTTTTTTTGAATGAAATTGACATTTTATAAAACTCTGTTAAATAAAACCTTTTCCACATATCAATATTCATATATATGCTCATACTAGGACTATAATCAAATTGAGCAGGAATCAAAGCAAGCAGTACGCGTATTTGTTGATAAGGTGTGGAAGCAACTTCCAATAAACTTTGAAGAATTTTAATTTGCTCCAATCTATCTGTATTCTATTAATTAGATGAAATAAAATAAAAATTTTGAATTAGATCAAATATAATTTCTAATATGAAAAAAGAAGCTTTTTCAAAGAAACAAATAATTACCTTTTTCCCTCTTGCCTCCATAACTTCTAGTAATTTCCTATACAAATCTTCCGAAGTGAATTCTAGAACTTTAGTCTTCTTAATAACTTCTTCTTTCTCTTCCTCTTCCTCTTCAATCTCCTCTTCATCTTCATCTTCACCTTTATCCTGGATCTATATAGAATATATAATTAATGATTTACAAAAAACCATATATTTTTAAGGTGTGTACAAAAAACAGTAATAATATGTACTTTTTTGAATTTTTCTATTTCAGCTTCATACTGTCGATTATTTTTTTTAATTTTATGTTTCATTGTATTCAATGCTCTTGCAGTAGTAGCACTCATTTTCTTCTTTGCCTCTTTGTCTTTTTGTATTGATTCATTTAAAAACTCTTCAAGTTGGGCAATTGTTTTTATGTAAAGTTTTGGCACTTGTTCATGTGGTTGTTGTTTTGATATAATCTTATTCAATTTATCAAATTCTATATTTAAAAAAGTCAAATCAATAAAATCGATTAATTTAATTTAAAGAATTAATCTATAAATATATTATTAGTAACAATACCAGTTTGGATCACAACCCAATCATTAATTTTCTCGGCATTTTCAATATTCTTTACACAAAGCCCCACAGCATCCAATCGTTTATCTCTAGCTGACTTAACTTCTCGTTTCACATCCTCTTCTTCACTTTCAGAAGAAAGTGCGCCGCCGCCAATCAAGAAGCGATTTTTATTAGCTTGAGCGATGGGTTTTCTTTCTCCTTCTTCATCAGAGACATTTTCATCATCGGAGGAAATATGATCATCGTCTGAAATAATATCATCATCCTCCGATTCACTATCCTCTGAATCCTTGAAAAATCGGGACATTTTGAAAGTTTTTTTTTTTAATTAAAAAAAGATTTTTGTTTACACATGATCAGCGAAAAAATTTTTTTTTTAAAATAGATAGACATAAAATGTCAAGCATACCACCAAATCAATCCTTATACATTAGAAATTTAAATGAGAAAACTAATAAAGATGGTAATTATACTTATTTTTGACATGTTTCCAAGAGTACTTTTTAACAAGATTTTTTAATATTAGAGTTGAAGAGATCATTGTATGCGCTGTTTTCAGCATATGGAAGGATTCTTGATATTGTTGCATTAAAAACGATTAAAATGCGTGGGCAAGCATTTATTGTGTTTAGAGAAATACAAAGTGCAACAGCAGCTATGAGAGGACTTAATGGATTCAATTTCTATGATAAACCAATGGTAAGTTTTTATTATGTTTTTTTGAACTTATTATTAAAATTATTCAAATAATAAGAAAAGTCTTGGATAGGTTAATTAAAAGGTTGCTAAAGAATATAATTTACATTCTTCTTTGTGTATTTAAATATCATTTTTCTATTTAATTAATCTTGATTTTTTTTTCTTTAATTAATATAATAAAAGGTGATCCAATAAAAAACTTATTATTTATTTCTTATAGCTGAGGTTATAATTAAAATTAATAAAATCAAAAAATGATGCTGATCTAATATTTCTTTATTCTTTCTTTTCTAATTAATTCCCGTCAACTTATTTATTTTTTAATTTTCATGACGAAAATTCCCAATTTCATATTCCATCTTATAATTAAATAGCACATAGAATATGCAAAAGGTAAATCAGATGCTGTTGCAAAACTTGACGGAACATGGAAAAAGCCAGGGACCATTTCTTCTACTCAACGTTCACAAACAGTAACAGGTCAATTAGGTGTATCACCTGCACAAAAAAGACAACGTGAAGAAGAAGGTACTTGATCATAATCATAATTGCGTTAATATTGATATTATTATTAATGATGATGATGATGATTTATTTAATATATGCTAGGTGTGTTTGATAACAAGAGAGCAGCGAATGGTGAAGCTTTCAAAGAAAGTGAATTCGATTCACCAGAAGTTGGTAATTATATTGTATTATAAAAATCGTTAAAATCAACTTTTCTTTATTAATCAATTAAAAATTGATTTATTAAAAAAGAAGAAGAAGAAGAATCACCAGAACCTGAAACACAACAATCCGAAATTGAGTCACCTAATAGAATTTTATACATACAAAATTTACCACCAGATGTTACTGATGAAATGTTAAGTTTCTTATTTCAACAGTATGTATTATATTTGTCAATATCAAATTATTATCATATATATTTATTTATGTGATAGAATTTACATATGGAATTGATAATTTAATAATGATGATATTATTATTATAAGATATCCTGGTTTCAAAGAAGTACGTCTTGTGCCTGGAAAATCAGATATTGCATTTGTAGAATATGAGGCAGATCATCAAGCGGCAGTGGCTAAAGATGTGTTAAATGGATTCAAGATTACACATGATAAAGAAATGAAGGTTACATTTGCAAGGAGATAATCAAAGATTATATAAATTAAGCATATTGCAATATACGTATTTTGAAAAAAATTTTATCGGAAGTTTTTTTTCTTTTATTTTGATTTTGAAACAATCTGTCATCAAGTATTAGAAAATTTTACAAAAAACTAATTCATATATTTGCATCCATTAATTTTCATTGATTATCATTAATTAGATGATTAAAAAATTTTGTATTATATAATTGATGCTTATAAAATACTGTACTGTGTCCTTCCAATCATAATGGTCAACCAATGTACAAATTGCAAGTGGTTTCTTGAGAGGTGGACTAAAAATGATTAATTAATACATCAAAGAAAGTACAACTAATATATTATTAATATTACATCCATTTTGAAAAATTCTTACCAGAAATTTTGACAGGATATATTTAATATTTAATATTTTTAATAATATCCCTATTTCTTTCTATTCCATACTCTTATGAAATCTGGAAAGTCAAGGTCTCTAAATCATCCATAAACATATTTAATGTTTATAAACTTTGATTATCTATTAAACTTTACCTTGAAAAACCCTTAATTTGAATAACATAATTGTATGATTTTTTTTAACCTGGTCTAGGTTACGCGACGGCAATTTCACGATTACGTCATCATTCCAGCGGCAGCAGATCCATGATTACGTCATCATACCTGAAATGCATGTCGTCATAAATGAGACGACCAATTGGCTGTCATATCGTCATCTGAGGAGCCGAGGCACAACGTGTCAAGGACAGGAAACCAGTTCTATAGATTAATCCATTGTGTGCTTGTATAATGCGTTTTGCATGTATTATAGAAGGCAAATAATGAGGGCAATGCCTGAACTAGATTCAAAGCATCATTTACTTGATTTATGAATGCATCATTGTGGGTTATGTGATTAAAAACTAACATTACATTAAAATGTATTTTCTATGAAGAGAAAGGGCCTCATATATGGTTTTTCTAGAAGTGGATAATTGAAGAACATAGTCTTGTTTATCAAAATAAGATTTTATTATTCTTAAAGAAAAAAAAATAACAAAAAAAAATAATACAAAGTATAAAATGTATATGAAATTATGATTATTTTTTGCTCTTACTACCACTAAAAAAAGAAAAAACATAAGAAACATCCCAACCGCTATACCAAGTAGCCAATCCAATCATGGCTAGGACTCGATCCTCAGTATCCCGTTTGAAATATCCAGTAAATGAATCACAGAGATATATATTACTATAAAAACACCGAGTAAGTGGAGTCTGAAAATGTTGAAGAACTTTACAAAGGTCGTTGCGAGACTTCAAATAGAGAAAGTGATCATCATCCGGTTTATATAAACCCAAGCATTCATTATTTTGTATAAAGTCTACAGTATATCTACGAAATTTGTCATCATACTTACAAAGGTAAGATTCTGGTCGAGAGCAGAATATTTGACCACAACAGTCGTCAACGTCCTTTATGGCATCATCTACGGTTTTATCTTGCCATTTTTCCATAAGTTCGATAACAACAGGCCTTGAAGCAGAGCCCCATAAATAATTCCATACAAAACAACAAATGAAAGCGCCGAAAAAGGCTTTAAAGAAATAATTTATGACAGGGATGTTTCTCATTGTAGGTTAAAGAATCGTTATTTTTTATTCAGCAGGCTAACCAACTTTTAAATTTTGCAATATGTATGAATACTTGTTCATTAACTTTGATAAATAACTAAGTCTGTATATGCTGTAACAAAACCAGACAAAGTGAACATTGGTATTACCAAGGACCACATATAATTGTATTACCAATGCAATGTGATCAAATAGTTAATTCGTGATATGGTAAAATAAGTGCAAAATTTAAATTCTGTTAGGTCGAAGTCATGTGAGTAAACGTCAGATTCCAAAAATTATTATTCGAATTAAGATTGACTCTTATTACACATAATAATAATTTGAATAAGAAATTGTATTTACGAAGGGAAACACTAATGTGACTTGAGCCCATCCTATGTCCTTTTTCAGAATACTGAATAAACCGCATCAAGAAAACAGGTATGTATATTAATTAATATCTTGCACAATTTATTATTATTATTATTTAAAAGATAACACTTTTGAAGGATAAAAAATTAATACCATGGGTTTGTCTTTATTGTAAATACAAAGTTTAATAGGTTTTCTTTTAAGCATTCTCAAATCAGTATCAATTTTCTACTCAAGATCATTATTTAATAAGGCAAAAAATCAATCCTTCAATAATAATCAGAGGGAATATTACTCTGTTAATTGGATAAATAATAATAGAAAGATTTGTAAACTTTTAATTGGGGCATACTACAGACAAAGTGAACATTGGTATTACCAAGTGTAAAATTAAGAAATACGCGAATAAATAGTAATGGGAAGCGAGAAAATCTTCCCAAAATAGTTATGAATGTTACGAATCTCTCAATATCTCTCTCTGGATTATGTAAAATCTATTACTATGTAAATTTTACGAATTTTACAGAACACAATGTTACATGGGTTTTATTTATATAAAACCCATATATTAACAATTATCTCAATACTTTTCATTATTTTTTTGATATTTAGTCCATCAATTGCAATTTTTGGACATTTTATCCAATAAGTATAAAGCTCCGAACGGTTCAATTTAAACCGAAATTTTCGTTTTTTAAATTATTATTGAACACCAAAAAAAAAAAAATTTTTATTTTTTCAAGTACGAGCTTCTTATATACAATTAAATTAATCAGTAACCACAAATATTGCACTTTAATTACCATTTAGCAATTTAATCATGAATCCGCACTTCTTGTGTAATTGCGATCAAGTATATGTTGACCGAAATTGTTTTGAAAAAATCAATTTCGGCAGCAATTTCGAATTTACAATATTCTTTGTATCGATCGGCAGGCGTAGAGAATAACTAGAAAATTAATTTCGGCACTATGAAAAACTATTTTGGCATTTCGGATTCATTTATTAATATTAATATTAAGAGAGGCAATTTCGGCTAACATGCTTAATTACGATTCAGTTATTTTAATCCCGAAATAGCTCTTCAAGTACTAATAAAGACGATGATGACCTTTCCCATTTTCTATTAATCGAATCTATGATGAGGCGGTCACTTTTTTTTTTTTAAAGTACTTTCGAATCATAGTGTTGACGGTCACATTCAATAGAATTTTCCCGGTATTTTCTAGCATGAATGTCACAAACGCCATATTAATATGTAGAAAAGGTTAACTTGTCACATTCTTTGCAAGGTATATACATATAACACGTGAAAAGGAACTTTGCACTCCTCTGACCGACAACTTTTCCGATTGCAGAATTTCCAGTTCTGAGAATATAGGGGTAATAACAAAATACCATAACATTTCGAATAACTATAAAATATGTATCTATTACTAATTTTCATTTTGAAGTTTTTCCCTCCCAATATATATCTCAGATCTATCATGGTTACCCAAAAAAATCAACAGAACGCCGACTATGCGTCCGCCAGAGATCTTTGAACCAGAGTTTGATAAACCTTTTATCGTCGCAGCTATCGCCTTCAAGATGTGACTGAGTACATCTATATAATTCGTGATGATAGTGTGTCACCAAGAGAATTCCTTGAAACAGATGCCGATGATGGGGTGGAGGTTATAATGGGACATTCGTTACATGAAGGGGATGAGCCACTTCATAAATTTCATTTGCCACACGCAAAGAAGTGTACACCTACCTTGTTCGTCCTTTGAAGCAGCCTGTCTCGAAATATATCTGGATTGTGATAAGCACACCTTAGCTATTTCTAGTAGCAGTGAACCAAAAAAAAGACCTTCCACATCTCAACTTTCGGTATGAGACTTAAAAATATTTCGGCCTGTGCATTATTTGTAGAACTTGTCTATGAGAATTTTGTTGTTATATTTAATGGTAAGCTGTAAAATTTCTAATTTTCACAAGTAACAATCTTTATAGTTCTCAAGTTCTCAAAGTGTAAAGTTTGTGTATATAACATTTTTTTAAAATAATAATAATACTTGTTTATTTCGCTCGATATCTCAGAAACAAAGATTCTAAATATTTTTTAAAATATTAAAATCTAAATCTACAGATAATAATAATGATGTTATGTAATTATAATTTTTGTGATTTTCTAATTTATAGTCTTTAATAGTAGTTATATTTTTGTGTGAGAGTGCGTGTAAGTGTAGTAAATGCGATCTTTTTTATTCCAAGCCAATTGTTTTTTTCGGGTTTTTAGTCATTTTAATATGATGACAATGATAATGATTTTATGTGAATGCAAGATTTTGTATTGAAACTACTTTATCAGCGAGAGATAATGATGATGGCTGATAATACCAGTTTATAAATCTTGTCCAAGCTAAGAATTCATGTTTATGTATATCATAATTAATTACAAAGTGTATACATGAATAAGCATATGAATAAAAAAATATACCCCAGAAAGAAAGCTTTCTACCCAGCCATCGTCCCAACAAAGGAAGTACCAAAGTAAATAAAATTTGCTCTAGTTGTTCAACAAGTTCCTCCCAGTCTTCTTCTATTTCAGATACATCAGTAATTGTATCATCATCATTATTATCTGTAATGCAGTAGAAGAGTCAACATTCTGAGTTAATTCAGTATACTGCCACAATAAATTGATGTATATAAAATATTACTCATGGGAGTATTATTAGATAACACCACCTTCTAATTCATCCGTTGGAAGTTGTTGCGTTGGTATGTTTGCATTTGTAGAATGTGACATTGTCAAGAAGAAATTGTTGGGATGAAAAAAACAAGTATCACGACCTCTTCTAAAATTCGTAATTTTTGTGCAGATCGGATTTATTTATCAATTAAAAATTATAAAAAAATTACAGGTAAAGAAATTATTAAATTAAATGAATGAATTCTATATCTATTTATTTGGTGCCTTTTTTATCACATGATTTTCTCGTTTACACAGACTTTCAATGTTCAAATTGAGCATTTCCAATAAAAATTATACTTGAAATTTTACATCTGAACCAATGATACCATTTTTTTTTCTTGTAAATTGTTGATTTTTGTTGGCTATTGTGTTATTTATTAATCGCTAATTCATATTCTTCATCTAATTCACAAATCATTATCACTACTGTTCCTTCTAGTATTATGATCATTATTAATACAATTATTAACTCGTATGATTTTTGAAGAAATGTAACTTTGAAGGATCCGATATAACATGTAATAATGCCGTCATGCTAATCAGACTTGATCTCACCTTCTTTGGTGATTTCATATGGAATTGAATCAAAATAAACATTAATTATTTTTGATAAACTCAATTGTGATTTTATTAAGTGTCGATAATTACGACTAGCTGGGTTAAGATCCGTGTTGGATGATGCTAAATCAAGCAGTTTTCCTTTAAAGGTGTTTTATATTAAAGTCTATCAAATATGCGCACCTCATATATGTACTAGAAAACTTTATAAATTTAAAAGTTGAATGAATAAATATACGTTAAATACAACATTAAAAATGAACGTGGATAGTTGGTGACCATAATCTATTTGATTGGAATGGAAAATACGAATGTGATATATGAAGTGCCCACGACAATAAAGACAATAAATCACCATCAATATCTATAACAACAAAAAAAGAAGAGATATGATATAATATTCTTATTAGGCAAAAAGGCTTATATAAATATTAAATGATAACCAAATCGAAGAGTCAAAAGTTTTAAAATATAATTACTATATTTATAGCTTTTTTTACTTTTTATTATTTTTTTTGAATTATTATGATTATGATTATGATGATTATTTGTTGGTTGATAATTTACAAACACCATCTTCGCATCCATTAACATCATCTTTAATATTTAATGACGAAGATGTTGAAACATTATCTAATTTATGTCTGCTCTCAACCAATTTAGAAAAATCAGAATATCCACCAATAAATTTATAATCATTTGATTTACATCCCTCATAAACTAAAGGCGAAGTATTGTGATTTTGTGCATTTGGTATTATCTAATATATATATATATAATTATAAATATCACAATAATAATAACATTTAATAATAGTAAAAATAAAAACAACTTACAGATTGTAACGTTTTTACTCTATCTTTCCACTATTTATATTTATTTTTAATTGGAAAAATTTTTAATAATTTTCAAAATTTTAATTATATAATAATTAAAAAAAACCACTTCTCTTGCCTGATCCTTTTCAGTTCCTTCAACTTTTATTTTTATATTTGGTTTTTGAATTTTATTACCTAAATCTACTGCTGCTTTAAAATAACTACAAGTCAAAAATCCCTCCTATCATTATAAAAAAACGATAAATTAATTTTTATTCACACTTTCATTCTTCTATATACCACTATTATATATTTACTTTACTTACGATATTATAACAAATGTTATTATTGTTATTGTCTTTTGATTTTGATGAAAAAAATCTCATCTTTTTATTTGGCTTTAATAAATGATTGAAAAAAATATTTATATGATTATTATAAACAAACGATCGATACGTCATTTTCTTTTCTCTCTGTAAAAATATTTACATTTATCATGTGATAAATAACTATAAAAAATAAAAAAAAAAAAGGTTACCCAAATATATTTTTTGCAATTTTTTTTTTTTCCTCCAAAAAAGAAATAAATAAAAATGTCAACAATAGACATTGGAGCTCACACAGTGGCACAATTATTTCAACTAGAACAAGATTTTCAATTTTTAACATTTGACAATTCAGTAGCATTAGAATTGGGCTTATTAATTTTAAAAACCGCACAACAAAAAGGACTTTCGGTTGTAATTTCTATCATGATGAATCAACATCTTTTATTTCACTATTCAATGCCTGGAACAAAACCTATTGACGTGGAATCATCAAGAAGAAAAGCCAATGTTGTAAATGATTATCATCACTCATCATTATATGTAAAAGAGTCTTTAAAACAAACCAAGAAAATTGCTATTGAAGATGATGATGATTTCAATATTAATAAAAAAGACTATTTAATTAGCGGAGGAGCATTCCCGTTAATTATTAAAGGAGTTGGTGTAGTTGGATCAGTCACAGTCAGTGGATATTCATGCCTTGAAAATCATGAAATTGTGGTTTCATCATTAAAAGAATTTTTTGGATTAGAAAAAGAAGGAAAGAACAAAGTTGAATAATGAATATATGCTCAAGTGCGTAAGCATATATAAATATATATAAATGTAATTTTTTTTTTGTATAAATAATTTTTAAATGATTGAATAATTCTATTATTAAATGATTTATTTAACGACTTAATAATTTAAATCATTTTTTTATAAATACTATCTCATTCTGATTCTTATTTTTATTCTTACTATCATTATCATCATACTTTTCTTTGTATTGTCTTTCAAGATATTTTTGATATTTTTATATTTTAATTAAAGTAATAGAAGAAGATTCACCAAACTTCCAATTGTTGGAGATTCTTTCTTCTCAAAATACTATCAGCAAAATTTACATCAATTTCATTATTTGTAGAAACACCTACCTACAGTATATTCAAGAATAATATGGATTCACCAAAAGCCAAAATTTATTGTTTCAACCACATGTAAAGTTGATATTATTACTTTTAGAATCGTTCGTTGTAACATATCTTGTAAATTTTCAAGAAAAAATCTTTGATTATTTTTCCATCAGATTATTTGTGTGTGCTATATTATGGGCTTGGGAAGCTTGTGATAATTAGTGAAAAGTGTAGGCTCTTCCGTGGGCTTGGGAAGCTTGCGACAGATATCAGGAGGGAAGCTGGTCTGAAAACTAGTGTGTTTTATTTTGTTATTGTTGTTCTAAGAATAAAATTTATCAAATCATTATCAACTTTCCAATTAAAGCCCAAATACGAGTTAATGATGCAAGTTTGTCATGCTATTGTAAATCTTCTAATGACCTAATAACCAATAATAATTGAGGCTATATTGAATTTGATTGGTTATTTTAAATATTTTTCCATGATAATAAAAACAGCCAAACCTCTCGAAAGGTTAAAACCCTCAATTAAACCATTTATCAATTGACATTTTGTGATCACGAGGATTAATTGTACATATAAATACAATTAAGAGAAGTGCAAGACGATCTTGTATCAGAATCAATTGATTCATATATTCATGATTTGAAGACATGTTTTTTCATGCTTTTTTTCCACCTGATTTTTATTCTCAATATAATTATCTATCTTGGGAAAAAACTGTATGATCATCAATAAATGTTTAAAGGATTTTGCAAAGTGTTGTATAGGAATACTCAATACTCGCTCAATATCCAATATTGAAGGTTGATTAATGATGAACATTGAATATCGAGCATAGAGAATTGAGTTCATTTTTTTAAAGCGTAATTTTGGGGTTAAAATTTCAATTGAAAATGCCTTTTGGATTTCGATCCATTCTTTTTCTAGAGAATAATCAAAAAATTAAAGATGGGTTCGGATTAGATGTGTAATTATAGCAGTAAGCTTGCTATTACCCACGTCAATGTTGTAGATGATCGATTATATTATTGGTTGCCTTTTATTATTGTATCCAAACCGTGGCTCGAAATTGTACTGGTTGAAGTTCTCAATTTAATAATATGTATGATTTTTACTTATTATTATTCTTTTTTTCTTTCTCGTACGCTCTTTATTTAATTCTTTACTGATGCTAGCGCTTGTCTATTTGTTATCCAGGCGAAGCATTGTTTTTTCAGCGGATTTATTGGATTCGTTGGATTTTTGTATTTGTTGGATACTAATATTGATGTTAATGTTGATGGAACGAATAATTGATAATATTTCTGTTTTTTTAATCCATTATTATCCCAACTCGCCTTAAACCAAAAAACTTTTTTAAAAAAATGAACGATCTGTTATGCGAACGTATTAATATAATTTCCTGATTAAGAATATTTGATTTTTTTTTCCCAATGAGTTCAATCTTGATCACCTCAAAAATGTCAAAATCCGAATAAAGCAATCGAAGGCAACGAGTCTGCATCGAGGACGACGGATTTATATTCAAAGGGTTCGTGGGCCAGGTTCTTTAGTATCGACATTTGACGTCAACACAATACTTCAAACCACGGGAAGGTTCGTGGTGGAGGATGGAAAGGAACACGCACGTATGTTATTAATAAAAAATCGATTTGTGTGATTAATTTTAATATGTTGATGTTAATAAATAAAAAATTATAAAGTTGTTAACAATAATAGAAGGAGATATTGCTGTCAACCAGTTGAGATGTTTAATAGAAATGGGTTAAACAATTTGCAATAACGATAAAAAAATTTTAATGTTTTCTTTGTCTTTGATCCGTGTAAGCGTGAGTCTAAAATTATACGACAACTATTTAAACCATTTATACTTTTTTTATTTTTTTCTAAAATTTAAACTGATATGTGACGCGCAGCTCATTATTAGGAAACAATGATGAATGCTCTTCTTCTTGTTGGTTTATTCCTGTTTCATCAATACTAATAAATTTTCGAGAGTTCGGTATCAACGGTTGGGGTGTTAGATATAATTAGTTAACATTAATTTTACCACGGATTGGATGAGGTGCATTACCTTAATCATTTATAAATTATATTTTAGTATTAGAACGGTTTTTTTAATTATATCTTTATATTATTATCCTTAAATTTACCTTTACACGGACATGATGACTGTGACGATAATGCACGGATTGGTTGGGGTGCAATATTGATATGTGAAGCAAGAATTCTAAAAATCCGCTATGACAAGAATTTAATTGTACTGTGACAAGGTCCGACTGTATTGTCTAATCATTATTAATATAACAAAAGTTAAAAAAAAACAATAATGCAAAAAAAATTATAAAAGTTCTTATAATAATAAACAAGATCTTATAATATACATGTTAGCCAAAAATTGGTTTTGCATTTGCTGAATATTTTGGCAATATTCTGGCTTTTCCATATTCCCTATATTAATGGTCATAAAAAAAAACACCCAGAGTTTTGGTTATTGAATCAAAGAATTTAAATAATTTTGGAATTAATTTTTGCTACGTAGCTCTTTGATATTTAATTAAGTTATTGGTTAAATAATTCTAAAGCTATTTGTACTAAAATAGTATCATAATCTTGAGTAGTGGTTAGGGTTTTCTATTCAAATAAGGTTTATTTGAATAAATAATAAAGTGAATAATTTGAGCAAAAAATAATTTGAATAAATGAGTAAAAAATATTTCGAATAAAGTGAGTAAACGAATAAAGTAAATAAATTTGAATAAATTTGAACAAAACAAATAAAACGAATAAGATGAAAATTACAAATAGAAACCATGCATTAATATTAAAATCAAAAAAACAACAATAAATAAACAAACAAATAGCTTTTATTGCAAGATAATTAATTTTGTTCCTTTGGTGTTAACGATTGAATTAATCATACAAGTAGGAGTAGTCAATTTAAACAACATTGTTTTTAAGAATTATTCAAAGTAATATTATCAAATGTATAATGTTTAATGATTTTTAATGTTGCAAATTTTTTTTTTCAATCACAATCCAAAATCAATCATATTTATATGCTTTAAAGTTTCTTTATTTCTTTTTTTGATAAATAATAAATTTATCCTTTGTTTATTCAAGTAGATTTTATTAGATCAATTAGTACATTACAACAAAATTTCAGAGAACCAATTACACAAAAAAATTTAATTAAGGACTGGAAATAAAGAAAGAAAGAACACTGAAAAGATAATAAAATCTTTGATGAAAAAAAAAAAAACAGGATAATGCAAGATGGGAAGGAAATCAAGTTTTTGCATAATTTTGTTATAGAAAATAAATGATAATTAATTAGAAAGTAAAACTTTAAAATTAAAGTTTTAAATTGTTATATCGTGAACAAAAAGAAATTTTATTTTGGTTTTTATGTAAATAAATAAATGTTGCATTGGTAAAAAGCAACAATACATATATACATTCATCACAAGTTCATTACATGTCTATTTCTTTGAAAACTTCATCAGATGTCACATACTATTTTTGACAAGCATGAAAATTTTCCCAAATTCCTGTATTATTATTTTTAACTTTCACCATTAATTAGATATCTTTGAATAAAAATAAATCACCATTAGTTGTATTATTTCTACATCTATTAACATTCATAAATATCAATTTGTTGTACTTTTCCTGATTTTGTAGATATGAACCACTACTTGAGTATTTAGAGATCAAACTAACTTATTTGAGAAAAAATAAAAACTTGTCGCATTAATTCTTTTACTGGATTCAGCATGAGATCAAAATTGTTTCTCAATCTGAAAAATGTGTTCTATATAGGCAGTATTTAGTGCATTTGAATTTTATGTTCAAAACAACATTTTTACTGCAGGCTAAATTAATAGAGATATCTTATGGATTAATCTGTCGGCAAGTTATTTATTTCAATTGCCTCTTTGCAAATTAAGAATGATTTGCAAAAATACCACAAAAAAATAAACAAGTTTTGTAATTGAGGATGTGAGTAGGAGAGACTGTTCTGGGAACACAAAATTTTAGCCCACTGACTTTGGCTTTACCAATTTCCCATAAAACCAAAAAAATCCCCATTGATAATGTAGAAATAGATATGGGTTTTATTCATTTTGTCAACAATCACTTCACCAACAATCATTTCATTAATGAATCTAAGAAGTCGGAAGCAACCATGCAACAAACCATTGAAATGGTCAATAAATTAAATAATTGTACTACTTGAAAATGTATTTAAAGGGTTGGTTTTCAACTTGGTTGAAGAATAACTCTCTTCCTAACTCTTCTTTTGACCATATCTCTCAATATAATCAAAATAACCTTAATATAACAAATGTCAATGAAATGATTACAAACACAATGAAATTAAGATACATGATCAAGACGAAAATGAACAATGCATGAAAATCAAACAAATGTTACATAAAACAACACCTTCTGTTCATGTTGATGGACGTGGTAGATAAAAAATAAAAAAAATAAAACCAAAAAGGTAAGGAAAGATCAAAAAAAATTTTTAGCATCAGATGAACAAATAGTGAAAAATAATTAGATTTAGTAAAATAATAAATAATATATAAATAAATAAAAAATAATAATTATTAACGATATGTATAATGTCAATCATTTCAAAGAAACGTCTCATTCTTTTCATCTCATGCTTCCCAAAAAATTGTGTTTGATTTTTTTATCAGCTCAATGATCATCACTCTTCTACAACATCTTTTTTCCCGTACCACTGTTTATTTACAAATATAGGCAAACAACAAATTTAATTTAGATCAGCATGGTGGACATAGGACCCCGGAGACTACATAGATAGGTTATCCCAAAATTTACCCAAAATCTAATTGGCTAATTGAGAAAATCTGCACTAATATGGTCAAATTACGGCCATTTTTGGTAATGATATTCGCGCGCTCAATATGAAGTTTACCCAAATTTAGGGTAACCTATCTATGTAGTTTCCGGGGTCCTGTTTTATCAAATTAATCATTTAACCAGTTAAAATGCAGATCATTCTTAATTCGCAATTTGTGACAGAATCCTGGATCGGTTTTTAAATTTGTAAGTAAATTAGTGTTGATCGCCAAAACTATTTCGAAGAGGTGAAAGTCAAAACTAAAATTAAAAGTTTATCAAAAATAAATTAAAAGTCAATAGTCAAACATCATAACTAGTTTCGACTATGGTGAAATCTTTTGACATTCGAACGGTTGCGAAACTTAGATGTTGGAATCGTCCAAAAAAAATCCTTAGTCGACTACTAGCCGATCAAAATTTCTTTAGTCGGCTAAAAATTTTTTTTAATATTAATATTTCATTATTATTAATAATTTTTTTTAATTTACAAATTACGAATTCATTTCCATTTGAATCTTTCAATTTTTCAAAATACTTCCACACAAAACCATGCGTTACGATTTGTTTTTTTAAAGGCCTTCTGGAACCACTGCTTAAATCATTAGAACTTGAAACAAATAAACTATTGGAACTTGTATTGGAAATATTTATTAGTTCACATGTAAAATTATCATCAACACCATTGTCATCATTATCATATTGATGATATTGATACTCTTCCGCATAGAAATTTTTCATACCACAAAAATCGGTTTTATTTATAATTGGCCAGACAATAATTATCAATATTAATATTAGTAGTCGACTATTGGTTGTTCAAAAAAAAGTTTAGTCGACTATATTAGTCAATTCCGACCTCTAATTGATACTCCGCATAGGTACCACACACAAAAATCGGTTTTATTTATAATTGGTCAGACAATAATTATCAATCTTAATATTAGCATAGTAACAGTATTGATATTAGCGTTGCCTAGTAATCGACTAATTAATCGACTATTAGTTGCTCAAAAAAAAAAAGATTAGTCGATTATTTTAGTCGATTCCAATCTCTAGCGCCAATGAAGATAGATTTATTTCACACATTACGTTTTATTAGCAATTATAAACTTTTCTTCAAAAAGGCCATTAAACAATTCTCAAAAACAACAATATCAATATATCTCTTTCAAATCAATACTCGTAAATAAATATTGCATATTAATGTAAATAACACGTAATTTGCATGGACGGTAAATTCATATAAAAAATTATGACAAGCTGTCGTTATATGTATGTTGAATTAAAAATTTTTATTTGTCAATTTAAAAAAGTTGCTTACATTTCATTTATTTTGTAAAAAAAATATTCTCTAAATTCTAGAAATTGACACTCTTAAATTTAAATCGTTTGTTCATTTGTTTATCTGGTAAACATTCAGATCCTTTTGAGAGTATTTCATCATAATTTAAATCCATAGTAGTGTTAAATTTGGCGGGTTGAGGTGAAGCGTTAGTATTATTGATGAAGTTGTCATCATTAATAGGAAGAGGATTAAAAGTAGAATACGAAAGAAAAGAAGTGGAAGGATTAAAAGAAGTGTAAGATAATGAACTTGGGTTATTGCTTATAAAAGAAGAAAAAAAAGGGTGTGTATAAGATAGTGTTGAAACCGCAAAATTGCTATTATCGTTATCATCCATTTCTTCTTGTAATAGTTCTTGTTGTTGATAAAACGAGCTTGTATTATAGTTTGTGTGTAAGTGATACGATGATGAATCTACATAATTGGCATTATTATCATTGGTTTCTTGTTGTGATTCCGATCCTTGAGAAATAAAGATATAACTTTTTGGTAGTTGAACGATACTTTCATAAATCAATTTATGTTTTTCAAAAGCCAACATTGCTAATATTTTAAAGTAACGTTTTACTTCGTCCGATTCATTCTTCCAGGAATTTCCAGCTTCCTTTGAGAGAGTTTTCCAATCCTTTTTACTCTCAAGAGATTTATGTTTTGCATTATAATTTTTACGGTATAAGAAAAAACAGTTTTGTGGTTTTGGGATATCTATGGAATCAACATTATTGGGATTGGGTGAAATGAGTTGAATCATTTGCACGTGTAGTTGACAAGGAGGATTAAAGAGAAGACGAGTCTGATCACTGTCAAGTTGTGCTTTATAAACACATAATAATATTTCATCCATACACATTATTATTGTTTTTGTTAGAATAATAATTTTCTATTCGAACTTGCGATATTATTAATTATTATCAAAAAATTTGTTTTATTATACGAAGAAATTATTATAATTATAAAATAAATTTTTTCAATCGAGTTTAAAGTTGCGATACGACGAAAACAAAAAATTAATTATTAAAGAAAGTAATTGGCATATTATTAATAGCTTAAAGATTATTTTCAAATTAGAGGGTTCGATGTTATAGCTTAAAAGATTTTGTATCTTTTTATAGTTGAAATTATAGATCTAGCCAGATTTACAAATGACATGTCAGTTCATAATCATTTTACCACATTAAGCCAATGTTTTTCAAATAATAAACGTTTTCGTCATTGTGTCCTTTCACATCCGTCCAAAGATTTGTAATGCAAATTTTCTTTGTTTTATTTTAGTTTTATTATATACTAATTCGTAATTGATTACATGATATTCTAATTATGATTTACTGCTACAGGTATTATGGCTAAAATAATTTTTTGTTGTGGATGTATGAAGAAGGACGAAAAGAGCCAAAAAAAGCAAACAAGGAAAAGTGGATATTAAAAGAAAGTAAGTCAACATTTTTTTTATCGCATTTTGGAAATTATCATCGTTATTCATTCATTATTACTGTTATGGATTTGATTGAAATGATATCTAGGTTCTACATTTAAATGATGCAACCAGTAATAATAGGAAGGTAAACTATAAGTTATATAGTAATATATTGAAATATATGTCACAACTTTTGTACTCGGCAAAAGGAAAACCCGATTAGAAACACGTTAGGAACATGGACCTACGTAGGGTTCAAAATTGACCAGGATTATGTGGAAGTGTTATCAGAATTGCAAATATTTCGATGTAATGCTGGCCAATTATAAGCTTACGTAAGCTTTATTTTCCTGATGTAGTTAGTTATATTCAATCATTAAACAATAGAAAAATATTATCCGAGTTTATTTGATTTGCATGTCTAGTGAGTATTGACTTACCTTTTAATTACCAAGGAAATCTCTTCTCGTCACGCTTCCCCAGAATTTGTTTGAGATTGTGGAACAATAACATTTGTAATCTTACTAGAACCTGCAAGAGCTTTAAAAATGTGTTAGATTGATATGTAAAATAAAATTTCCCTAAAATTGACATAAAAGAAATAAAATTTACGATAATTCAAACATCTCATAATCGCAATGGTTTAATGATGCATTAAATATTTATTATTAGAAACGATATTAATAATGATAAGTCATTCTTAATAATACAATAAACTGTTTTTTGGCGATGGCGTGTAATTCTATCATTAACTATATACAAAATGTGATCTTGTTCACTTTTTTAATCAAACAGTGATTAGATGCTAATCCAAAAAAATAGTGTAATGCAAATATAAAAACCATACAGACGAGCCCGCAAATTTCATAGATAGTAATAGGAATGAAAATTCCTGTTTGCTATATTGATATTCTAAAGACACCTATTGCTGCGTCGACGCTTCAAAATTTCAAAAATAGATATTTCAAGAAAGGTCTATTCACATGACTTTGATTGAAAATTTTCTTACTGCCAAATTTAGATATGATGTTCGCGCGTTAGTCTAATTTAGTAATGGATGGTCTAAAACTAGTCTAAATTTAGCAATGATAATAGCGCATGAACAAATAGTTTATAGTAAAATGCATGTACTGAAAAAGAATTTCTACGACAAATAAATTTTTTGATAAAATCTCTTCATCACATTAAAATTAGAGGCTATTTTTTTAAAATAATGGACAAAAAATGACTATGCTCTTAAAGTTTGCACAAAATTTAGGAGGAGGTCCTTTACACTGAGCCAACTATATGATTTGACCCAAACCAAAATTAAGTTTAATATAACTTGACCCTAAGGTTTTCAATGACATTAGAAAAAAACCGTAATTTGACCCATAATATTACTAACATTAAAAATTTTGAAACCGTCTACTGTAACGTAATTAAATTTTGCTAAATCAATTGATTTAACTAATCAACTGATTATAATGAAATGATTCACTAATTTTTATAATTTTAATGATTTTTTTTTAATATAAAAAGATTTACTATATATAAAATATAGGATTTGTTATACGTAAGAAAAAAACTTGCTGACAAAATTTTTGGTTTCCTAATAAATCGTTCGTTGATTTAAGGTTGCCTGCCGAAACCTCATAGTGACTGTCAAAAATCTACAAGCTCTAATAAACAATTAATATCTACTTGCCAAAACTCTGCTGATTGCCAAGACCCCTAATTCTAATAAACAATTAGTGTGAAACTCTGCCGATTGATTTCAGCCAGGGTCATTAAACGGTTGAAGACAAACCAAGCCAACTGTGATCGATTCAATTAGTTGAATCCTAGTAATAGTTTAAAACCGTGGTTTGTCAACAAATAACCAATTAAATTTCATCATTATTCTAAAATCAAAATTTTCAACAGGGTTTTTTAATCAATTTATGGTTGTTAAACCAAGTCAGTACGGTTAGACCATTTAAACTGTGGTTGAACAGCGGTCGGTTTATTGATTCAAATTTAATAAATTAAATTTTTGATGTCTTTTTCCATTCCACTTTATCCCCCCAAAAAATTTTTCTATATTATGTCTAATGAAAGTTTAAATAACGACAAATATTTTCCTGACAATAATTATCACCCGGAATTTGAAATTAACTCAGATATAGTGTGTTGCAAAAATAATTGGCCAAAAATCATGTGATTTAAACGTGATAACTTTTCATATAAACAATAAAATTATATTATATTTTATAAACTTGTTTATTTTATTTTTTTCTTATTCCTGACATCATTTTTTAAAAAGTTTGTTACTACATTATTGAAAACAAGGTTATAATTATGTCATCATCAGATCTAGAATCACAACGTCAGACTATATTATACTTTTGGAAGAAAGGTGCCTATAAATCCACAAATTAACAGGCATTCAATTACCTACTATTAAATACAAGATCAAAAAATCGAATGAGACAGGAACTTCATCTCAGAAAAAAATCCGTAAGGCCGACTAAGGTTACACAAACTACGTCAAGGACAATTGGGCAGTTCCCCCGAAGAAATCCTACTCTTTCTTTAAGAACTTTGGCTACCAAACTATCTAAATTTGATGTAAATATTCACTATACTACAATTAAACGACATTTAGATAGACTTGGTTATAAAAATTCATTACCAACTGGAACGCCGATTCCTACTGTATCCCACAAGGCTAATCGTGTAGAATGGGCCAAAAAACATTTAAATGGCAAAACTATTTTTACAGATGAAACAGCATTTCAATTATTTAGGAATACAATTACACAATGGTATAAAGGTCCAAGACCAATTAGATCACTCCCTAAAAATAGACAAAAAATCTTTGCATGGGCCGGATTTTGTAGCAAATGGAAAACAAGTCTATTTTGTTTTACACAAACAATGGATGCCAATTTTTATATTAAAATCGTTGGAGACCATCTCTCTGAAGTCAATAATATGCTTGGGAAACGTTGGAAATTTCAACAAGACAATGATCCAAGTCGTATCTAATGTTGTATGACGAAATGTTTTTGGAATTGAGAAACTATTTCGAAAGACTAAACCCTTGACGAAAGTCAAAATCATTCAAAAATTATTGAGCAAAACAAAAAATTAGAAAATCAGATTTAACTTTTTATTAAAATAAATTTTTTTTATAGGTTTTTGTTATTTTCTAACATTGAATTCAATTTATTATTGTAATTAGATATTTCGGTATCAAGAAATTTTTCAGATAAAACACTCCTAGATGGTGGTTGATATGCAGGATGGAGCTATTGAAGAAGATCTATAAAGTATGGATTACTGACAACTGAAAAAGAAAATCACAGCAAACAAATGCTTTGGTTAATGCCCAGTTAATAGAATCATTGCGTTTTTTTGTCAACAATGTGCTTTCATAAAAATTTGAAATTGGCTGTTGAGTTGTTGGTGATTCTAAATTTTCATTGTTATTATCACCATTTATTTGCCTTAGATAATCTTTTCTAATTTCATGAGTACAGCCAGGACAATGATTTGTTAAATGTGATAAAAGTTTTTGTGGTTATCCATGACTAAACTTTTTTGTGGAATACTTGCATTGTGCAGAGTAACATTTTTTTTAGTGAAATGAATGAATCCACACATTTGAGGAAAGTCTACCAGATAATTTATTTTTTGGATCCGACATTGTCTTAAACAATATTATCTCATGAACTTACTATTGGATATAAAAGGAAGGTGGAAGTTGCTTGTAATCTGAATAGTTTATGGTCGTTTTACTAATTTCAATTCAAATAATTTTTACTCAAAGATTATAAATAAGGGGCAAACTTTTATATATAAATATATAAAACAAAAAAAAATTTCAATTTCAATTTTTACTTTCGTCAAATTGTCAAAATGGCCCTTGGTGAAAAACCACCTTTAGTCAGTACTTTCGTCACGTCAATGACTAAAGTCAAAAGTTTCGTCATACATCATTACCAAGGGGGTTACTGCTATAAATGCTGTTTGTTTTGTGATATAAATAAAATCTTTATCATTATTTTCCATGTTCTCATCCATATTGACATCATCAGGAGTTGTCTCATTCATATTGTCATCATCAAAAGAAGTGGTTTTATTATCATCAAATGTAGTAGCAGGTTCTATTTCTTTGTAAGTTTCTGATTGAGATGGTTGAGGCATTTGAGAAGGCATATTATTTTATTCATTTTCTTAAGTAGATTCCTCTAATTTTTGTTTTTTGTCTGAATTGAATTGTAAATTATTATTTTTTTTTGTTGTCGTTTCTTGTCATTTATTTTATTTGTTTAAGTCACCTTTTAACTGTGAGTTGACTTTGCTTTATTAACATTTATTTACTAAAATCGTTATTATAATAGATTCCGATTATTATTATTACTATTACTATTACTATGTTCTTTGTAAATTTTGGTATTCTTAAAAATGTCTAGAAAATTTCTAATTAAATTTTTTATAAATATTAATATTCAATATTGATAGTATATATATTAATTTCAAAAGAAGGCATGTACGCGCATCTTACTGTTTAAATATGTTTGCTGATACGATAAACAATACACAACAAATAACATATATTTGGAATGTTTTTTCCATTTTGCATTAATTTAACAATTTAATTTTTCGACTCATTTTCCAAAAAGTCAATTTACAGTAGCCACTTGCCTCATACATAGCTACTCCTCAATTTAGCCATTCACAAAAAAATCAATTTACGTAATAAAAAAAATTTTTTGTTGTTAGATGGTTACTTCAGAATAACAAGATAATAAACAAGATAATAATATGTCTCCCACGTATAATATTTGTTCTGCCTATTTATGGAGTTATATCAAAAATGAGGTATTCTATAATTCATTATTGAGAATAAATAAAAAACGTAGCAAATCTTTTCATTGATAATTGTTGATGAAAATATTGTATTAATAATTCTTAGTAAACACCCTGCTAAAATTGTAATTTATAGCTTTCAAGTAGTCAAAGATAAAGATATCACAGAAATATTACAGAGAGTAATATATATTTAAAAATAAAAAGTATTATTTAACACAAAAAAAAGATTTAACATTTGCCGTGTCACGATCTCCTTCCAAAACTCGCAAGTCGTGCGACTTCCGTG